ACTGAGGTGGGGGTTGGGGGTCTGAGGTGGGAGCATCTCCTTTTTTTTTTTTTTTTTTTTTGAGTCAGAGTTTTGCTCTGTCACCCAGGCTAGTACAGTGGCACAGTCTCAGCTCACTGCAACCTCCGCCTCCCGGGTTCAAGCGATTCTCCTGCCTCAGCCTCCCGAATAGTTGAACTACAGGCGCATGCCACCACACCCAGCCGATTTTTGTATTTTTAGTAGAGACGGGGTTTCACTATTTTGCCAGCCTGGTCTTGAACTCCTGTCCCCGTGATCTGCCCCCCTGGGCCTCCCAAAGTGCTGAGATTACATGCGTGAGCCAGTGTGCCTGGCCTGGGAGCATCTTTTGAGCCTAGGAGGCTGCAATGAGCTGTGATCAAGCCACTGCACTCCAGCTTGGGTGACAGAGAGACCCTGTTTCAAAAAAAAAAAAAAAAAAAAAAAAAGATATGTTACTTTAACAGAGAGCATATAAACATAAAGGAACAGGGAGGCATGCAGAGCAGAGGTCTGAGCAATGTTGTTCCAAGCAGGAGGAACAGTGAATAATAAACTCCTTGAGGCAGGAATAAGCTTGCAGTGTTGGAGGAGCAAGCAGTCAATGTGGTTAAAGAAAAGCAAAGAGGAGACTAGTAATGCGATGGAGAGGAAAGCAGGGGCCAGATAAAACAGGACTTTATAGGTCAGAATAAAGAGTCTGAAAGTTCTGGAGAGGATTCCATGCAGGAAAGGGATGGGATGAAGAGATCTCTCTAGCCTGCTCTAGTTGTGCTTGCAAAGGAAGGCCAACTAGGGCTACTTAGAGCAGCCCACGGAAAAGATGATAGTGGGGTGGAATATGGTGGGATGTGGTGGTGGAAATGGTCATAAACGACCGGATTCCAAGCATATTTTTAAAGGTAGAACTGACACACTGGCAGATGAACTGACTGTGATAAAGAGAATCAAAAACGGCTTTTAGGTTTTGGGCCTGAGCTAACAGATGAATGGAGAAACTACTGAATCATGCAAGACTGGGAAAGGGGCATCATTAGGCAAAGATATTAAGCCTTTTTT